ACCTACTTAATTCTGATGTTTTTAGAAATGAAATTGATTTTTGCATTCTCTTGATATGAACTTTTTGGAAAACAACAGAAAAACATTAAATTATCGCTTTTCAAAGTGCCATTTTGTGCTTGATAAGAAGTGATGGCCCTTAGACAGAGCGTTCCTATAAAAAATCTAGAGTGAGCTGGCCTCTATAAAAATTAAAATTAGCACCAGTATTTAATTGTCTGTTAGATGTTAATTTTCATTAAGCTTAAGGTTCTACGGAAAAAGGCGAAATTCGCCCCTAAAGGCTTCAATGTCTGAATGAAAAAAGGCACTATGGTAAAGAGGTAGTTGAAAAATGGGAGGGAGCTGGCCTCTACAAGTTGTTGATTGAGATAGATTAGCGTATTGACTTTCGATTGATATACCTCATTAAGCATATGGTTTTACGGAAAATGGCTAAATTTGTCGAAAACTATCTCGTTTTTGTTATAAACCGTATATTAGAAATGGCGACGTGCGCCACTTCCGTCGCCGACGCCATTTGGACGCCATGTTGCCCGAGATTTGAGCGCTTGTACGCCTTGGCTTCTAAATTTCAAGATGAATATTGAAGGCAGAAGACGGCGTTGTGCATATGGGGGGCACTCACTGATTTCAAGTGAGTCGGAAGTGCCAAAATTGAACAAGATTGGTTCCAAGTACGTTTCGAAGTCCGTCATTCAGGCCCTGGGAATGGGTGACCCTGGCAAGCTTGCTGGACGATACCTGTGCCATAAGTGTATTTCCTATGGCAGGTCGCAGATGAAAATTGTTCAGGTGAGATTACTTGACTGATGTGTTGGCTCATAGCTGGGCTCTCCATTGATGTTTGCAGTGTGAATTTACTCTTGTGCTGTGCAGATTCACAGGAATTTGTATCAGTCTGGGAGGTTTGGTCAATCAGTCATTTTTATCATATGCTATTTTTGTCACATGTGCTAAAAATGACAACGATTCTGCTATTTTTGGGAGCGATCCAGTCTGCAAAACGTGGCAGGGTTCGACAAGATCTGGTTGGGGCAGACACATGCTGCGTTCGGATGGGCGGTTTCGTTTTTTCATCGGGGATCAAGTACTCTCTTTGCAGACGTCACCCGAGCTGCCATATCTATGTCTCACTTGCGCAACAATTGTCCTTTCATGGTTAAATATATAACAAAACATATCTAACCTGACCTTACCTTACCTACAACCTACACCCTACCAACCTACAACCTAACCTACCAACCTACAACCTACCAACCTACCTAACTGGATATGGCAGCTCGGGTGATGTCTGCTAAGAGAATCCCAGGGAATATTCCTCAGACCGTTTGGGCAGGCTTCTACGGAGAGTGCGCAAAAACTGTAGCCACTAGGTATATCTCACTCTGCATTTTGGGTCCGCGCTACTTGGAGATACTCCTTAGTCCTTTCTAGCCTAACCAGTTACCAAACCAAATCAAATCAAACAAAACCAAACCAAACCAAACCAAACCTGACCTAATCAAACTCATAAATAAAGCTGGTCCCGTAGCTCAGTCGGTAGAGCGTTGGACTCCGCGAGGTGAGAGCTCGTGTCCCGGTATGAATGTCGGAATGTCGTATGGAGCCCTAAAACGCAGCTCGAATTGAGCCCGAAAAGGAAGACGAACTGATGCCGCTTTCGAGGCTAATGTACTTTGAGCCCGAAAAGGGCGCCTAACTGATCCCGATTTTAAAATCATACAGATTTGAGCCCTGTTTTGGCACTCATATGAGCCCTTATTCAAAAATGTTCTCAAAGTGTTTTCTGAGTGAATTTGTTCAGTAGTTTAATCCTTGGTCTTACCCTTCAAAATAGTTTTTTTCGTGCGCGCTCACACCAGCCTTCGTTCATGGTATTTTGTCACGTAAAGCAAGCCTCTTCATGATGCAGCGAGCCGATGATTTATAAGCGCTCGTGTAGATGGGGCGTTGTTGGCGGTGGCTATGGGCGCAATGGTGTTGGGTGAAATGACCCATCTCGACACGACAAAAACTTACGCAGATCTCGCGTGTCACCATAGATGCTCGAGCTCGAAAGTGAGTTGTTAGTTCAGGATGATCGTACGCAATCATGTGGATCGGTACCAGTGTAATGTTTATCCCTTATGCCGCAGAGTGCAGCTTGGCTCAACAGCATCGCTCCTTTCTATGTGCCAATTTGACACATCCATGCCGACCGCTGCGCTCGTTAGGCTCAGCAGGCCTAAGCCGCCCGATCTGTGCTGACCTAGGTGTAAGTTTAAGCCGCCGGCCAGCACCGATCCTCTCCAGTCGGCTCGTTTCATTGGCGCGACGTTTCGTCACTCCCGTCACGATCCACCTTTGAGTTCTGCGGACCGCCCGTCCCAGCGGTTACTCAGCAGAACTAACCCTTCGATATCTCGGCGGCCATCGAGAAAAGTGGACAACTGATCCGCTTTTGATATGCGAGTGATCTTAGGGTGATACTGCTCTGACGGACGGCGAGATCCACAGATCGCGGAGGAACATTGTCTCGGTGGGTCCTCCTGTCGACAGCTCTGTGCGTGAGAAATGAGAATCCACATTTGTGTGTCACGTAGAAGCAACTCTTTTACTATTTGTCTTGCCCTTCAAGCTCAGGCACAACAGGATATTGATTAACCCGCTTGTCTTTGCACCAGGGATGCGGAGCCGGAGCCGGAGTCGGAGCCGGAGCCGCCGGAGCCGGCATATTTTGCCCGGAGCCGGAGCCGGAGCCGGAGCCGTGAAACAATATAGCCCGGAGCCGGAGCCGGAGCCGGAGCCGCCAAAAAAGGGTGCGACTCCGGCTACTTTTTATTTTTTGAAGAGGAAAAAAATAATTGACCTAGTTCGGTTTGACAGTACAAGGCAGTAAAACATATGGTACTTACGTCATGGGCCATCAAGTGAATGAAAAAATCCGAATATCCCCAGTATTCCACAGTACGCAAACAACTTCCTGTGTGCTCTTCCCCCCCCCCCCCACGTCTACTGCATCCCCAGAACATGAGGACCAGTCATCAGGTGACGGCCATTGTTTTCAAACCAGTGCAGCGGACTGCGACTCCCAGCACCGTCTCATCCCACACACACACCCCACCCCTCATCCCCCAATGCAGCCGAGACGGGTGTCAGCTTACGATGGTTCACTGAACTCCGATTCGCGGCGACTGCGTTTCCAATGCCATCGCTTCCTAGCCCTTTGTTCTGCCAGTTCTCTCCGAGGTGCGTTTGCGCGGGGACGCGGTGAGCCGGTCATGGCAAAGAGTAACGCGTATAACCAATCCAATTTTTCTTCCACCCGTATTTAATTGATTGCGTAGGGGATGTACTGAGTCGGAGCTTGAGCCGCCGGAGCCGGAGCCGCCGGAGCCGGACCATTTTACTCGGAGCCGGAGCCGGAGCCGCCATAACATTTGACCTGGAGCCGGAGCCGGAGCCGGAGCCGGAGCCGATTTTTTTCTCCGGAGCCGGAGCCGGAGCCGGAGCCGTCTGAAATTTCCATGGCTCCGCATCCCTGCTTTGCACTGATGCTTTGCTGATGTTATATTAGGAATTTCTTATGTTTTATAGAAAGCCGGCGAAAATCATCAAAATGTAGGTATCAATCGAACTTTCCTATTTCAGCTTTAAACAAAAACATGTCGCAAATCATTTTGAATGGCTTTTATTTCTGCGTTATATGCTCATACCTACACATAGGTAGTAAAATTTCGATAAGCTCCTCAATACAAAAAGAAGAGGAAATAATATGAATTAATGTCAACATTTAAAAAAATCATATCAAGGACGTTATTGTTTATCCCATTCTCTCCCAACGCCGGTATTTCGCTGTATCGGTTTAGTCGATCTCCGGGACCCTATATTGTGCTCTGAGGCTGATCGTATCGCCGAGGTCAGAGGTTAGCTCCGATAGATCTCTGCTCAGTGATGTATGCAGAGCACACCGAACGGGAGATCCGCTGATGGATCACATCAGGTCAGAGATACCACCCGAACGCTCAATGCCTATTCAAACAGGCTGAGCGCGCTTTGATGATTCAATGAGCAAACATTGGAAGCTGGAATTGCATTATCATTTCATCACTGTAGGTATACAATTCGGAGATCACGATCAAGTAGAAATCTTGTGTAACTGAAACGAAAAGATTCACGAGAGCCCATTCTTGGCAGCTTTATATGCCATATTTATTTACCATGACCGCAGTTGTGGGTCCAAGGGCCAGCTGGGCACATAAAACTATACGGAGTTCCGTTTTTTTCGCAGGTGGGCCGAAATTCGTGATTGGAGTAGGTAAGGTAGTCCAAATCTTGTTTGCTCATCGGAACTCCACCAAGTATAGCATCGTAGCAGTTACAGACATAAATAAAATTGATCGGATTAAACACATTAAAAAATACTAGGGAAAGTTTTGAATAAGACAGTTTGACTAAACTGAAAGCATTCTTGATAAATGTTAATGATTCTTTTGACCATAGGTCAAAATTCAACCTTTTGCCAACATTGATGCTAAAGCATAAAAATAAAACACAACATTACCTACTACGGTTACTAAAAGGTATTTAACTATCTATAAATCGGAATAAAACATCGCCGATTTGAAAACAAATGTGCTGACTGCTGATAGCCGCTTACAATAAAAAATACACATTTTATGGGAGCCGCACAATCCGCCCGAGTCAGCATAATATGCCAGCATAATGAGCCAGCATAATGAGCCAGCATAATAATATTGTTCAGTATTATCTGAAAATGAAGATATTTGGGTTTTGATATGAGCTAGGGAATGACTGTTAGCCTACCAAAAGCGCATATCATTCGAGGCAAATGGCTGCAATAATTTCCGAATAATTGTTTGTTATGGATACGGATTCATATGTCTGCCGTTTCAATCGAAGAATAAATCAGGATGTATCATTAGAATATATGACCCGCAGCAGCTCTCAACGATATACGAAGAATAAATCATTTCAATATGCATGATTATTCTCACCTGGCGAATTAGGAGAATCCAAGAGAAGATCACGCTTTGACTCCTCCTCTTCGGCCGTGGCGGAAGGTCAACAGGTCAGCAGCGCGTCCTGTCACTGTGTCACGCCCTGGGTCACGAGCTGACAATAGCCCTGACACTTCTCTCCACACCAACTGTCTCTGGTGGCACCGCACTGTGTCTCAGCCGGTCGCGGAGAATTCCAGCGGCTCCTCTCTGCTATCAGTTCTCGCTGACATCGACCGTCCGATCAAAGTTCCAGCGGTCTAAGACAGGTGTCTTCTCCAGCATATCGACAGCGGAAACAACACAGGTTGATACTGCAGTATCAGAGTGCCGAGACGGGCCGCTGAGCCGGAGAGACGTGAGCACAGGGCCGGACCGGTCCAACCCCCGAGCCCAACTGACGCCGCCGCCCCCGCCGCCGCCGTCTCCCTCTCCCTCTCTCGCCGCCGCCGCCGCCGCCGCCGCCCCTGCCGGAGACCGAACGCAACCTCCTTCCGCCGGCAGAGCGATAGATAGGCGGGTGATGCCGCCAGACGCATCTCATGGAGCCGCACACGGCTGCCCGTGGTGATGCAATAGCGGCTTAAATCTTTTCGTGAACTTTCGTGATTTTTGGTGACTTTTTGTGAACTGTTTTTCGTGATATGTACCGCCATCGGTCACGCCTTGAAGTCGAGTACCATTCCATGGGGTAGGTACCGGTAGTCACACTCCGTGCTTTCTGACTGCATCGTTCCCCAAGGGTACCAACATATCCTAGGCCAGTGACAGACCTTTTTGCGACTACTTCACATCAAAACGTCGCAGAACCGACACAGCCCAACCCAAGGCACCGTCAAATTGACTGAAACTTTTTTTTGCCGAATGTTTATTAAATGTTTGTTTTACAGTACAGTCATATTGGAATTAGCACGCGAGATTATGCTTTCTGTAATATACACAGTTTAACATCCCTCAGAAATAAAATACCCACATTTTTCAACTATCATATGTAAAACTATATTTAGTGGAAGTCACAATTCACACAGCGAAGCACTTTGCGCCACTTTTTGCCATATAATCAGACAGAGGTCTCGGCTTCCGGAGGTCGTGCTTATCTATTCATCATTATTCCTGAACTGAGATGGTCGTGAAAGAGGGATCACCACTAAATTCACCGGCATGGGAACACTGGGCTGCGCGTGGGTTACTTCAGTCGTCCGGGAACACGGTCCACTCATTTCCGGAATGATACGGACGGAACGTCACACATTAGACCAGTGTTTTTAGACATGGAGAGAGAGAGGGTGAGAGAGAGAGAGAGAGAGAGAGAGAGAGAGAGAGAGAGAGAGAGAGAGAGAGAGAGAGAGAGAGAGAGAGAGAGAGAGAGAGAGAGAGAGAGAGAGAGAGAGAGAGAGAGAGAGAGAGAGAGAGAGAGAGAGAGAGAGAGAGAGAGAGAGAGAGAGAGAGAGAGAGAGAGAGAGAGAGAGAGAGAGAGAGAGAGAGAGAGAGAGAGAGAGAGAGAGAGAGAGAGAGAGAGAGAGAGAGGAGAGAGAGAGAGAGAGAGAGAGAGAGAGAGAGAGAGAGAGAGAGAGAGAGAGAGAGAGAGAGAGAGAGAGAGAGAGAGAGAGAGAGAGAGAGAGAGAGAGGAGAGAGAGAGAGAGAGAGAGAGAGAGAGAGAGAGAGAGAGAGAAATACAGGTATCTCTAGCTGTTCCGTCACTAGTCGTATGTGGAGCCGGATCGACCCAAGCTGACCCAGACCGTTGCCGGTCACGCCACCGGACCGACCTGGACCGTCTCAGACCACCCCGGACCGACCTGGACCAGCCAGGACCGACCCGGACCGCTCCGGACCGACCCGGAGAACGAGAGCAGCACCTGGCCAGCTAGTGGCGGCCGGTAGGTAAAAACTGACTGACTTACTGCTGCTGCGGATAGGGCCTGGTCGGCGCGGCGACTGCAGCTTGACAACAGCGTCTGAGGTACCGGGAATGGCCACAGATGGGTGATTGTAGACCAGACCCAGCAAAAAAAAAAAAAAAAAAACAAAAAAAATACAGGAGCATGATCAGTAAAGTGCGGCTAGTCGTTAGGCGTCATCCACAGGGCTATTCTATTCAGCATATTTTTGAGACTAATTAACCACAAGCTGCAAACCGAAAAAGAAAGGGTTCGAAATAAAATTGTTGTACTAGCTAACATGTCATACTGTAAAAGGGTCCCAATTCAAATAATTGTCCAATTCAAATAATCAACATGTCATACTGTATGTTATCGTGCACAAGCGGACGCTAAAAACGCTCAATGGATATAATTCATTCAATAGGTAGAATTAACCCTCGCCCGTAAACGGCGATCTGCCACCTTCGCCCATGCAGGGGGGGGGGGGGGGGGTTGGTGCGACCCCCCCCCTTGGCGTTTGAAAACGGAGCGTCGTAGAGCTTAGCGGAAAAGACCAACGGATTGCTCTCGCCGAGATCTCGCGATTGGTGGTATATTTTTTGGTCCTAGGTCAACATTTGACCTACTTTTGACCGGTCAAAGGTCAAATTTTCGGGAAAATTGACTTTTTTCAACTTTCTGCGGCGATTGCGGCAAAACGGTGGGAGATATCGACTTGAAACCTTCACTATCGTGTTCCTTGATCAATTCTCTGTCGTTTGGTATGTATTTCGTTTCCCTAGCTCTAAAAATGGCGCGTTGGGAGCGCCGGAAGTCGGCAAGGTCACAGTCGGCGGCAGAAATTCGAAAAATCAAAATTTAAATTTTTGAAATCTGATTGTATTTTTCGATTTGGAATGTCCATTTGCTCCCTATAGAAGCTAATATTGCTGCATATTCCCATTGAGGTGACAAGAATTAGCAAAATAGTGGTTCGGGCGCTTTTCAAAAATAGTACCGGACGCTGTTCCTCTTGTGACGTCATAGCTCCGTGACCTGACCTGACCCGGTCAAGTTTCTTATACCATATGATAGCCAATACTTGCCCCAACATGCATGGGAAGTTTCATCACGATCCATCAACCGATGTCCGTACCACCGGCAGGAAACCTCGGGCGTTGGCACTCAGTTTGTGAAAATCCGGCCGCAGGCTGTTCCCTTTGTGACGTCATAACTCCGTGACCTGACATGACCCGGTCAAATTTTTTTATCAAAAGATGCGCAAGGTTTGCCCCATAAGGTATCCAAAATTTGGCGGCGCTGCGCGCCGCCGTTTTTGCACTATTTCCGAAAAACCTCAGGGGGGGGGGGGTTGCACCAACCCCCCCCCCCTACATGGGCGAGGGTTAAAGTTCGGTACAATGAAAGCTCCAGTTCACCACTTTGCTCGCAGCCCGGTGGGTTCTAAAACATAGCGTTTGATGAGGTGCGAGGGAGAAATAGCTTTGCAATGAGAATAGGTCAGTCCACTACGATGTTAATTAAAAGTTCCCAGTCCAACCTCAGAATCGCAATCACCAGAAACGCTCACTTACAAGGCTGACCACATGCCTACAACAGCTGTGAAACACGTCGATACGCAATTTTTAAAATATGTATATTGTATAAGTTATATATGAGTTAAGTTATATATGTATAAGTAATACGAGTATGCATGTAAATTACATGTACAAGTTTCGTAGAATAGTACGGCGTCTTTAAATCAGAGGTAGTGCCAGACACTCCACAATTCCAAAGTTGGCCAAAACCAAGGCAACTTCTCAAAAGGTTTCTTCATTTTTTTTTTTTTGTTCTTTTGGGCATTATCCGTGACCTGCGACTGCAATGGTCAATGTTCCCTTCGCTTCCGAGAGAGCGCGTTCCGATGAAAAAGGAAACTGAAATAATGCTCACCGAACATCAGAGATTTTCCGATAGCGAAATGTTCATCTCCCTTTGGTTTGCATACAGTGCCTACTCTACCAGTAAATTAAAACCTAAGCCGCTAAGATGCATTATTTATAAATCAAGAGAACGCAGCCTTTAAAGTGTCCTTTTGGACATTAAACCGCTACGAAATGCAGGAAGGCGAAATCCACATTTGGTGCTCTACAATGCGTTGAAGGATCACCCAGCCATTCTTCCTTCCTCAGCTGAGCTAACGGTTGTCTGGGACGTTAACCACCTACTGAATAGAATATCGTGCCATCGCCCGCATTTCGCTGTCGCTAGGACATTTGGCGAGCACTGAGAGCATACTTAGGCGCAGTCAGTTATTCATCGAGTCGATACGAATGCTGCTCGCTCCCCCGCGTCTATGTCGCAATACGAGCGCCCGCCTTGGTGACCGGAATACTGCTATAGGGTGGTCTGGTTACATATAGGAGAGCCTACACTTTTGCACTGTTTCGCGTCACTAGCTCGGGCAGTTAACCGCCGCGACCTTGACCTGGGAGCAGCATGCAGTGATTGACCCCCGTCAGCGACGAGAGCTCAAGAGCCGCGAAGGAGCTGCTCCATCTCAAGTAGTGCTAGCAGATAATTGGAAAGTCGATACCAAACCACATATCTACCAACTAAAACATGATAAAATATCGAAACCGATTCAACTTGGAAACTAAGAGAAATGCCAATTTTCAATTAAACTCAGAACAGCCAAAACATTAGTGATGTGACGTAGTACCACCACAAAGTATCCAAGACGTGGAGGGCATATTTCCTACACCGTACTAAAAAGAGGGCATGGTGACGGCTCCCAACAAAGGCGGAATCTCAGGGTGGCTCGAGCTGCTGGAAAGCAGTCTATCTCGACCCCAGCGACCCGGGGTCTGACTGCCCGCGCGACTGGGCGCTCCCACAGACCACACGGACGAACTGAGTCAGGCGTCAGATCAGACCGCCAGCATATCCGAACATGCATTCACACCCGATAGTAGCGGTTCCGCCGCACACGACTTAGCTGCACCGTTCCCGGACTGGGGACGACGTGACGGGAGATAGGATCGCCTCTGGACGGTGACTGTACCGCGCTAAAATCAGCTCAGACGACGTTGGCAACGCGCTAGCCGCTAAAACATGAACGATCAATTATGGTGACTGTGAATAATGGATGGGCGCCACTTGCAGCACTAATATATATTTTTTCGTGCCTGAAAATTATCATTTTTTTGCACTTTTAGTGCGTCTTGGTCCGATTTGGGAATAAAAAGCTGACAAGCTTTTGTTGGTTTTATAGGCATGCAGCTATATTTCCTTCGTTTGGCTAGGTTGAGCTGAAACATTGCGTTAATCCGTGCCATTTCCGTCGATCACCGTGACCTTAGCCACTACGCATACATCCGAAACATGTGTTATCTTGTTGACATAAACATAAAAACCTGATAGCTTTTCACTGTAGTTGGCGAATGACCTTGTCGCTTTTCGCGCGAAAATACGACCAAAACACCGTACCTCAGCCCACAGCGTGGGTCTGACACCTCTCGCTATTCTGGTGTGGTG